TTTATTAGTTTTAAGAACAAAGGGAAGCCCCATGCAAGGTGCCACACTGGCAGGCCCGCCGCCAGAGAAAAGACACTGTCTGACTCCGCAGCATTCAACAGGGGATGATTTGGCCGATGTTGAAGACTCCAGTGATGAGAGTGAGCCTCAGGATGACGTGGCAGCCTGCGCTGAATTCAAGACACCAAAGGAGGATGTTTTGAATATTTTGCTGTGGTGGAAAGATCATGCAAAAATGTTCCCGAACCTAGCACTGATAGCGCGTAATGTGCTTGCAATTCCTGCATCAAAGCGCAGCTAGCGAAAGAGACTTTTCATCTGCTGGTTTTGTGATTCAAGGAGAACACAGCTTAAACCAGGGACTGTGGACGATATTCTTTTTCTACACAGCAACCTAAAGAGCAAGGCCTGAAAATCTGTGAGTAAACACCGTAGCCGATAAATGAAACTGTGATATCAGAATAAGTTAAGTTGAGTTGCACACAGTTGTGATGATCTTATACGGTCTGTTACGGTAAGGATTATTTCAAAAGTGTTTTTGTTTTTTTATTAATGCGCTGTTCTTGTCGGTGTGAGTTGCATATGTGAAAGATAGAAAAAGCGCTGCATTTCAAAAGTTTTTTATCAATGCGCTGTTCATGTCGGTGCATCTATGAAAGAACTGTATTCTGTTGCAGTCACAAGAATAAAGTGTGTTGTGATTGTTATGGATTAATTATGTATACTGTATCTGTTCTACCTTGACACTGTCCAGTAAACATATCTTCTTATAACCAGTTTTTGGCTGTTAATCTGTTTTGGCCCAGACAACAGGAATCCAGAGAGGGATTGACCTCTCTTGTTTGATAAGGAACTCTTTGAGCTGAGAGCCCTGTGATTGGCTGGGCAGTACATTCGTCGAGCTGTGATTGGTTGTAAACTGTCACGTGATGTTATCATGATGTTACGTTATTGGCTTGCTGTCTGCTGACGACAGCCACAAGCTGACAGATTTCCTGATTGACTTCTGTGCGTTTGTTGCTCAAGATTAAATCATGATGACCATACACGCAGACTTTCTGTGCATTTATTCCAAAGTGTTTCTGCATTCTTGGTAAATCATTTCCACGACAGAATTTGGCGTTGTTGAAAGGCAGCTCCAAGGACCGGAAGATTGCCCGCAGCTGGTCGACTGTTTTTCTCGGAGATCCACCGGAAGATGGAGGAAGGTTTTTCTGACAAAGCTGACCTGTCTTTCTCCGCTGATCGTGTCGGGGTTTTTGTGATCTGTCCTTACTTCGGCCGCTGTGGGTAGCCTTTGGGACTGGAGCTGAAAAAAGAACCTGTCTGTGGCAGAAACACTGTGAGCTAATATTTTCATTAGCACCTTATGCTAAAGAGCTACTGCTAATTTTTCGGCCCACACAAATTGAAATTGTAAATTGTTAGACGCTGGTCTGGTTTTCTGCGGCTGTATTGATCCTAGCCGAGGTAGATGTGGGAGTGATCCATTCCATATCGAGTCAAAAACAGGGAGCTCAGTTTTCTGTTTTAATGTAGCCAAAAGGATAGTGTTCGTCTTAGGTGAGTGTAGTTGGTTTAAAATGCTGAAACTGCTGAGGGAAAATGTTATTTTCCATTTTTGTTTCTATTGAGGAGACATTTGTAGGCTAGAATATCATTTCAAGTGACGGCCGTCCCAACATTCATTTGAGAAAGTCGCTTAGGTAGTGCACTGCGCACGAGTTTTCAGCCAAAGTATGCGACCAGCGAGCTTCTTTTTGAGCTCAGGCCATGGTAAATAAATATGGCGCTGAAAGTCGTGAAAAAGTGTCTGCGGGTATGGAGTCTGATAAGTTGGCTTCCCGGACGGTGGCTGTTTTCAGTTTTAAAACAGCTCAGCCGCCTTCTGGGATCGCTTAGTGGAACGTGATTCAAAGCTTAAATCAAGAAGAAGGATAAAGGTTGTTTTGAAACATTTTTAATAACATGGTTTAGTCTCTCTGATTTTCGGGACTATTAAATGGAGCAGATTGGGGTCTTTCCTGTTTCGGCCACGCAACATCACCTGTAGTTGCGGCCTGGTGGGGCCGCAACTACAGGACTACTAAATTAAAATGAGCGGCTGTGTGTATTGATCACAGGTCGGGTCGCAAGCTGTTAGTCACGGGTGCGGGCGGGTGCGGGTTTTAAATGGGGATAAATGCAGATCACAGGTCGGGTATCGGTTCTGGGCTTTACGGGTGCGGACGGATACGGGTCTGAAAAATTAGACCTGTGCAGGACTCTGATGTTAGCATATGACCACATGGTATGGTCGGACATCCCACATGGATGACTCATACCAAGCTTGTTGTATTTTAGCCTTTCCAAGTGAAAATTACAGCTTTCTGAAGTTGTAACGGACGGACAGAGACAGAGAGCATTTCAAAGTCCCCACCTCGGCAACAGGGTGACAAAAATTTACTTAGGAAAAGTGGCACAATGCTAATTAAAGAAGCAAAATACTAGCTAAAAGGTAAATGCTAGCTCAAAGCAATAAATAATATACACATGTAGCACAACACCACCTAAATGTAGCATAAAGAGACATAAATAAAGCAAGAATTTTAAATAGACAAGACAAGATAAAAACTGAAACATGCTCATACTACACAGTGAATAAATGCTGAATCAGCATTCACACCGTATAGGCTCATGTTTCAGGAACACTCTCTTTGATCCCTACCAGTGATGGTTGCCTGGGTGGTGTGTCCCGGGCCTCTTGGGAACATCTCCTCTCCGTGAGTGGCACCAGAGATGGGGCTGTACTTCACCCGAAAACTGTCAGCATCAGCCTGACTGCTGGTCCACTCCAAAGTGATGCTGTCATCTGTTTGAGACACAGCCTGCAGGTCTCTAGGGGCATCCAGAGCTGAGAAAAACAGTTTATAAATTACACAAGAACAACTTTAAACAAAGAGTTCTAAATATAAAAATGAGCTGTTGTCCTAACAATGGGAATTTTTTTAACAATAAAATTATCTAGAAGCTAACATGACTTATTAAAAACATACAGTCCTGGAGTCCAATTTTTATTTTTTTTGCAAATTAATTTTTTTTAGTGTTTCTGAAAGGTGAAAGATAAGGTTTTTGCCTGTGTCTGCGTGTATGCATTTCTCTGTTTTCTTAGTTAACTTTCTCATGAACCACTGGAAAGAAATTCTTTAAATTAAATCAAATCTACAACTTTTGGAGTTAATCTGGCTGCCTCAGTAGATTGACCTCAGAAGTTTAGTTTTACAGCCTCTGATTTAACATGTAGAATTGTTAGTAGCCGAGAGTCATTCCAAATCTGAACGCCAAGCATTGTTGCTTAAAACTTTGGAGTCAATGTGAGTTGACAATCGCTCGAGTATTAAAATGCAGCTTTAGGAAAAGTATTTTGTTCTTCTGCTTTACATCAGTCTGAACTGTTAGTCTGCAGGGATTACAGGTTTAGAAACTTGTGACAATTTGCCAGAAAAACAAACAAACAAAAAAAAAAACATGTCATTAGAATCTCTCTCGTGTATGGGGTGCCATTTGTAAAGTTACACAGTCAAAAATTACCAACAACATTTTTTTGTTTTATTTAGCCTTTTATAAGAAAAAAAAGAACAGATTTATTTTTCAAAGTCAGTTTTTCACCATATGATTCATACATTTA